TTTTTTTGAATAGGGGCTGAAAAATTTCTTGCGTCAGTATGCGCCTGAAAGTCAAAGTTGCCAGCACGAATAACTATTGGGTTGCTGTTTATGCATTTTTTTGTTTTTTTGTGTCTTGCGGTAACTGTATTCTATTTGAGTGCTGTATCAGACAGTTTCTCCCAATCTAAGTACAGCCTTAACTGGATTTTTTTAACTTTTAATGGAAATTTAGCTTAATTTTTTTGAGTCATTTTTTTTTCAGATTTCGTTGCTAATCGGAATTTTAGTTGCAGTTCTCTGAATTCATATCGTTTTGTGCTAATTCTGTCGGATTTGTTCGTACTGTTGCGAAGTTGATTCGCTTCGAAGAATAAGGTTAAAGAGCGCTTTTATCACAATATTATTTTTAAAACTGATTCAATTTAAAATTTTTTTTGAGAATTAAATTAAAATTCGGAAAACTTTTTTGAATTCTAGAACTTTAGTTTAGGGATTTGATAAGTTTCAATTAACCGTTGTCAACAGTAAAGAACAGACCGTTCCGTTTTTTTTCTGCTACAGTTTTTACCGTGAAGAAAAAAAATTTTTTTTTGTGGTGCAAAGAAGTAATTTGCAACTGAGTTTGCTGGGACATCTTCTGTATTCCCCCGTTTTATTACAAAGAAATCAAATATATGGGGCAAAACTTGCGACCTGTTACTGATTCGTAGAGCCCTTTGTTAAGATTGGCCTGAATAAGCAGATGAAAAAGATAATCGTATGACAGTCATAATGAAAAGCTTGAATTTTGCAACAGTAGTAGATAAGGCAACTACAGCGGTTTTAGGTTAAGAAATTTGTGTAATCAAATTCCTTTGTTTATCTGGAGTTCTGATGGCAAATTATCGTTGATATCACCTCATTATTATCGCTTTCATTATCGTACTAGGTGTCATGTGTTATGCGATACTAGCTGAATGCAGCCGTTAAAGTAATGAACAGAACTGAGCAGTAGCAGCGTAGTGCCGTGTAGATTTTGGAAAATGCTTGTCAAATGTTTGGCGGTGTTACCTTAAGTACCTTTAAGGTAGGGTTTTGGGGGCGTTAGCAGTTTTTTCTTGTCAGAAATTAGTATCAGTAACTCACTTCATTGAAAAAAGAACAAATGTTCGGAAAAATAAATTTGCAACTGTAATTTTCTTTTTAAACGCACTGTCTCGACACTATTCCTATTTTT